TGACTCTTAAAAATTTAAGCTCAAGTATTAGTAATATATAACTTAAACTTTTATATGGAACTCAACAATCATATATTTTTATAATGCGGGATTGAAGTATAACTATCTTCACTAGTCAAGTTCTTGATATCTTTATTAAAGTTACACATCACACAATAACAAATTATAATCTAAAAGTCCACAAAATAAAAAATCATACTAACCAGGGTCACCGAACTGGTACGTAGCTTAATAGCATTTGTAATGATCCGGGCCCAAATGCTGGTCGAACAACCTTTGATTCCCAACTCTTAAAAGTCTAAACTTAGATTATTAGTAATATGTTATTTGAGTTCTTATAGAGAGTTTAACAATCACGTATCTTTCCGATATGCAATTAAGGTATAATATCATGTCTATTAAAGTGTGTTTAAATTGAAAGAGTGTTTATATACACTAGGATTCAGCAGCTGTGGGTTTCCCTTTTGTTTGATCAAAAAGCAGATTTCAATTTTGTAGAGTAGTGCATAATGCATAAGGTATATGATTGCTTTTGTAGTAAACATGTTTATCTTTTAGCAGCATATCCTACAGATTTGTAGTTCTTTAGTTCTCAATTTATCATGTATGTGAATGTGTAGGATGAAGTTGTTCCATTTAAATCCTATCTTTATCGGTACCATACGCCTTACTTGGCTTCCAAAAGCAGCAGTCCCCTTTGGTATGCCATCAGACGTGCATCTGCTCATATAATCGTGCTCTCCAGCTATTCTTCATTTGGTAACTTGCCATTTTCTTATTATCTATTGATTTCTTATGTTGATTCAAATACTCCCAGTATTTAAGTTTTTCTTCTATGAAATTCATCTCAACCATGGGTTCTTTCGTACTTCTTAATTGTTATGTTCATGCATAGTGCTATGATGATTGATTGTTGTAGGTGATTGATTATCATAGGTCCATTCACACACCTTAATGTATAGTTAATGCACAACACCTTAATGCAGATGCTGTCTGCTGCGTCTTTAGATCTTTAATCAAATATTGATTTAACATTTCTACAGTTAAGTACACACCACAATGGAGGTGGCTCAAAGAAGAATTTGAAAAGGTTGACAGACAGAAGACACCTTGGCTCATTGTTCTCATGCATGTCCCAATATACAACAGTAACGAAGCACACTTCATGGAGGGTGAAAGTATGAGATCGGTCTTTGAGAGTTGGTTTGTCCATTACAAAGTTGATGTCATCTTTGCTGGCCATGTCCATGCGTATGAAAGATCAGTATGGTTTTTCTTTGAACTCCCATTTTTTGAGCACTAAAACTACATAATTTAATGGTCTCTGAATTGAGGCAGCTCTTAAAGGTTCAGGTACCTGTTATATACATGGTATTTGCTGTATGCTGTTCTTGAGTTGTGTTTTAATTTCAACGTCTAAGAGTACGACAAGGAAAAAATTTGATGGGTATGATTCACTTTGCTCAAGCTAATCCTAAGGAATAATCATGATTACCAAGAATTTTCCTGGTAATGGAGAGGAAATCTCTTCGAGAAGATAACTCTTGGTCAACATCCTTAAAATTTATAATATCTTGGTAACCGGTGAACTAGACTAAATAGTTTTGCTAGTTATAATCCCCTGCTTCACTAGCAGAAGTCATATATATATTTATATGATGAATTTTATGCCACTATCTGTTGCTGCTGATTTACAAATTCCTAATTTCAGTATCGGGTTTCAAACATACGTTACAATGTATCGAGTGGTGATCGTTATCCAGTACCAGACAACTCAGCTCCCGTTTACATTACTGTTGGAGATGGAGGAAATCAAGAAGGTCTAGCTGGAAGGTGAGTTGTACGTAGTAAATGAGTTATCATCCTTTTTGTTTCTCATTATTACCAGCAGCGGCAGCATTCTTAATCATTTTAATAAATTCTTTATTGCAACTTTAGGTTTATGGATCCACAACCAGATTATTCTGCATTCCGAGAAGCCAGTTACGGGCATTCTACATTGGAGATTAAGAACAGGACACATGCAGTCTACCACTGGAACCGCAATGATGACGGGAAGAAAGTGGCAACTGACTCATTTTTATTGCACAATCAGCATTGGTTAGTACAACGATTATTTCATTTTTTTTATTGGTCACGGGCAGATGCACCTGAACACATTACACATACGAAGGGAGCAAGTTGGCAGAACATGTTTTCTGGTTTGAATTAAACACATGCCAAGATGGTACCAAATAGCTGGCCGTGCTGTTATTAATTGCACAAAGCCTAGTCCGTTCTGTTTGCTGATTTATGCATGATCAGGCACAAGGCCGCACTCAGAACATCGATTTCTATCTTTTTTGTCATTGATTTACACCTTTACTTCTCTATATATCCACTTACCTTGTGTTCTTCATAAAATCACACCGCGAATTAACTGTATTTGTGCAGGGGAAACAACATACGGCGGCGGAGAAAACTGAAGAAGCATTCTTTAAGGAGCGTTGTTGTTGACTGGATTGCCGCTGGAAAATAATGAATTTCAGCGAAGTTGACGAAACTGCCACTATATTTGTCGAATGGGACTCTTTTCCATCTTTTGTTGGATGATGATTTCACATTCATCAAATCTGTCTTTGAAATTCTCATAATTTAAATTATTAGTCAAAATGTTTGTGATCCTTCTTCCCTGGTTTCAGATAATAAATATTTCATCAATCTACATGAATCATTTAAAATGAAAAAATAAAATAAAATAAAAGATTTTAACTCTGTGAACCCAGCAGTCAACATTTTGCAATGACTTATAACTTGTTCTCTGTTGAATCCATCCTAGCCCCTATCTGCTAAAGAGAGGCGAAAAAAGATTCCGACACTTCAATTATGTAAGTTAATTGAAGGCAGAGGTGCTGAATTTCGTTTATTGTCTAGCTAACTGGACCAATTTATAGTTGATTTGATTAGAAAATAAACTACAGAGATCATTTCTGCATTATTAACCTTCCGACCAGTGAAATCTTTCTAAAAAGTTACAATGTTGAAGAGTGTCACCGAGCAATCTCAAAATACTTCTTCCGTTCCGCGAATATCTAAATTGTATTTTCCCTAAAACATATATGACTTTACATTCAACCTAATGCTACTCAAATTCTATGTACAGTGTAAGCAATAGCTCTCTCAAAAACACATGCAAGGTTTATTTATCGTGTCGGTGTCAGGTATACATCTTGAGAGCTATGATTCACTGTCTCTGCTATATGAAATAACTTAGAGTTCACTCACGATTCTCGATAAATTGGCTGCGGCATCCACTTAAGGTGTAAATGCAATCTTCCTGATTTACTTCCATCAAGCTGGAAATAATCTCTGAATTCACCTTCCAATATGACCCGAGTCAACGTCAATATGCATCTTCCCATATAGTCCTGCAAAATTCGAAGTTATCTAGATTAGCATTCTCTTGGTCTGAGGTTCTACTTTTCTGTGAACACTCAAATCATTGCAGAAAATTCATAATTTTTTTTCTTCATTAGTCAATCAGGATACCAAAATCACAACCTCATTTTCTTCTAATCTTATAATTGATAGATCTTATTCTTATCTTTGTGTAAAGTCCTAAACTATGTGGACCTTTTTTGTGTATGTGTGTGTATATATATATATGCTTACACATTTACTCCAAAATTTACAAAAATGAGGCATGTGAAATAAGTGACTTAGATATCAAACTTAAACTGACAGTTAAATGTCCAATCTCTATTATTGATGTTCCAACACTAAACCTCTAGTTTTGATACCATAGTTCTGATACCATGTTAAATTATTAGACTGTAATAAATTATTAAATGATAGAAAAGTTCCAAAAAAACTATTTATCTTCTAGCAACAACTGAATTTTACCTTCCCAAATGTATCATGGTCCCAAACTTCGAGAATTAGCATGTCATGCAATCCGTCCTCAACGACAAAGTCAAAGGTTTGATTCCAAACAGGATTCAAGCTGTCGTTCACAACCTGGGGAGAAAATAATGAGGGAAATATTTTAAGTGTCTGGTCTTCAAAATAATTCACACTATTTTAACATCACGTTCTGGAGGCACAAGGTGGGCAAAGAAAGGGCCAAGGTAACTGCCAATTGATGGATCCCCTTCAGAACATCGTGTAAGGCAAAATAGAAAATAAATCTTAATATTTCATAAGGAACATCAAGAAACATGGGTGAAGCTATGGGATTCCTTGCCCCAGTATTTATGGGAAAAATAAACCACTAAAAATAAATGAAAGTAAACGAACTTAATAAGGTTACTTCAGAACTATCAAAAAAACACAAAGTGATGGAGATCCTTGGTAACCAAAATCTTACCCTTGTTTTGTTTCTCGTTTCTGATTTCTTCATTGTCAGTACGACATAAGGATCAGCCTTTCCCATCAAATCTACCACGGGCAAGTCTTCAGCAGATATAATGGTAACAGACAATACTCCTCTAACAATAACCTCCCTTTTTTTCTGTGTGATTGCTCTTTCACTTTCAATTGCCTCTACTGTTCCATTAACACCACTTTTAAGAACTTTCTCCAAGAGGTCATCGAGAAGTTAGGGGCAAGGGATTAACGAAGCCATTCTCCATCCCGAAAGGACAGTATAAACTTCCAATGAACCTAAACAGACATAAGTAACTTACATAAGGAAAAATGTAAAAAAACACCATTTGTTGACAGAAATTATAGAGAAGAACTTCCAGATATCAGACTGAAACTCAAGATTCTATGAAAAGCTCTAAATGCACTTGAAGAAAAACAAAAGAAGAGAGGAACTTTCAATTTCTAAATTATTTGCTTTCCTATGATAATACAAAAATTAAACCCCATGTAAATAACAAGAAGACAAGTAGAACCATCTATGGAAATAACTGAGTGCATGTTCACAGAGGAGAGAGAGATTCCAATTCACAAAGCCAAAATAGAAAAACAAAAGAAGAGAGAAAACTTTCAATTTCTAAATTATCAGCTTTCCTACGATAATACAAAAATTAAACCCCATGAATAACAAGAAGCAAGTAGAACCACCTATGGAAATAATTGGGTGCTTGTTCACAGTGGTATAGTAGATTCCAATTTACAAAGCCAAAATAGGAAATCTCAAATTTTCCAAGTATAGAGAAACCTTTGAGAGCATGGCCTAATCAAGGAGAGAGAGCATTCTTCCTTCTCTTAAACCTTCCAGCCTTCCAAATTAAAAAACCAAAATAGAAAGTATTGAGCACATGGCCTTATCAGGAGAGATAGCATTCTTCTTTCTCTATCAACTTTCAAACCCTCATACAAGAAAATTTAGATCTTATTTCAGCAACATAACTGATTTTATCAATAAGCAAATTGACACTCACAATATTGATCATTTGTTCTTACTATCTTTGTTCCAGAAACACTAAGTCAAGCCTACATTACATTCTTTATTATAAAAGTAGAGCATGATTACTTCATCAATGCTAGCAAAGTATATTGTGTCAAGAAAAGAAGAGAGTTTTCCTACAGCATTCTTTTGACATAATCATTGTAGAGGTTCTCACCTGCCCCCGATATTTATTATCTCTCTGAACCTCCAAATCCTTAACCAGATTTAACCACACATCCTTCACTTTACCAGGCTCAAGTTCATTTATCCGCACTTGAGCACAGCCAATGAGCTCAGATGCCTGAAGGCCCTCGTCATCGTAAATCTTTACAACCAAATGCTGAGTAGATGCATCTTCAATAACAAATTCAAAGTGCTCATTCCAAATGGGATTCAGATCATTGTTCTGAAGGAGAAGAAATTACAGACACTCCATTTAACCACAGTAGAGGGGCAAAAAGAAGCAGAAAAGCCAGTAGAACAACTTACAATTGTTTTGCTAGTTTTTGTTCTTTCACGTAATGGGCGCACAAATAATTTAGCATAGGGATCTGACTTTCCGATAATGTCCTTATTTGTCAAGTCCTTCGCCTGCACAAGTTTCACCTCTAATGTTCCGACAGGCTTTAGCTCCAGATCACTGAAAAAGGAGAGACATTAGCTTCTATCGAGTGCTAGACACAAAATAAACCTGGTACATATCAGATAGCAGATATTATTGACTCTCCATCCTCCTTGTCCTCTATTGCTCATATGCAGAGAAGCCCCACCAACAACCTCAGCCAGAGAGAGAGAGAGATTTTGAACCAAGCTACCCCTCTGAACAACTCAACTAATTCATTTGTAAGGGACTCGTCTACCAATTGGATAGCCGTAGTACTTATTAAGGACAACAACAACAACTATAATAGTAATAATAGTCTAAATTTACAATTATGATGCATCCATCGAAAAATACATACCTATAATCACCAGGCAAAATGGGAATAACTTTCCTAACAGGCCATGTGATGGAGTCTTCAACAGCATTCCGTATTGTCTCCTGTACAGGTGAAAATAAGCAGACTGAGAAACAGCTGACGCAAAATCACTGCACTCAATCCTATATTAATAGAGGTTTTACCACTCATATAATAATAAACTTGTTCTGCAATATATAACCAAGCCTTTTATGTTTTTTATTTCTCTTGAAAGATACTAACGAGACTAGGTAAGAAATTTTACAACCTCCAGCAACCATTTTGGTTTTCAAATATGAAAAGACCTTCTAAAACAGAAACTCTAAGAGTAATTTTTACACACAGAAACTATCATATTAACCCTTTTTTTTTTTTTAATTTTCATGTCAATATTATATAAAACCTCAAAGGAAAGTATAATAAGTTCAGACCAAAATAACAAAATTTATGCCAAACTTCTTACAATTTTTTGAGCTTTGGGCTTCAACAAGAGCTTTCTTAAGCAGAACCAAAAGGCACTTACATATACAAGGAAGTATTTTTCTTTCTCCATAATCTCCTCTATTTACTTTTTTCTTGTTCTTACAGTGTGAATAATGAATACTATCTTTCTTAGGCAGTGAATATCAATTTTTATGAACCTTTTTCTTTATATTCCAACAGAAGAATTCTAAGCATGAAAGTTAACCTATCAATGAACTAAGTGACTACATGGCAGCCACTAGTTAAATCTCAATAAAATGTCTATTAATTTAAAATTTAGCTTGAATTCAAAGTAACTCATGCTCAATTACATGTAGAAGCATTTTGGAGACATTAACTTCTATATAGTTGAAAAATAGAAGATTCTGTCTTCTGACTGAAAATGATTTGGAAGAATCTCTCAAGGAAATTATTCGCTCAGGTTTTTAGAAAAACTCACCAACAGGTTTACTTACAGAACATTTACATTTGGAGCAGTCAAAACTGAATTTTCATAGAAAAGAGTCAAAGAATAATGCAGCAATAAAAGAGGGAGGATAAGAACCAGAAACGGGAGTTGCACCAACCTCAATAGCACTAGAAAGTCCGGGAACTGATGATATGTCGCCACCAACAACTTTTAGTGTGAAATCCATCTTCTTCTGCAGACCAAAAATCAGATTATCACTTCAAATTCTATATGACGCGTAGATACATGGATGTTTTTATGGCTGTGGGTGTGTAAGCAATGACTATGTTAGAAGATGAATGTGCACGGATGCACTGTGCAAGAAAGAAAAAGAGAAGTTCCTACAGGCCTGTTAAAAAATATATTCTCATGGACTATACTGAAAACATTGAACATAAATAAGCAGCTAGTACTTTCATCAGTGTTTTAGTATTTGGACAGTCATGGGATAGATCAGCAGATCCGGCAGATGGAAGATTTAGTAATCTGTTTTGGTTTCAATAACTTTATTTTCACTATATGTTTTGTTCCTTAGATGCAGGAATGTTCAGTTATTGGAAGCTAGAGGCAGTTATGTCCTCATCCTGAAAATTATAGCTACAATCAGTTCTGGCAATAGAAGTAGCAAATTGAAGTCTACGTTTCTGACTACTTTCTTACTCAAGGATATCACTCTCTTCTCCTTAATGAGCCCAAACTTTCCTGCTCAAAATAGGTAAGAAAGAAAGACATTGCAAAATACTGCAAATTTTCATTCTCACTTTCCAGTCCGAAGACCCTCAATCAGATTCAGGGTTAAGGATCATATCACATATACTCTGGCTGATAAGTAATACCCAAATCCACTTTGGTAGGGATAGTTAGGTGAGAGGGTGGATGAATGTGCACGTTTGTTTTGTGAGAAAGACAGAAACATGCACCATCTACAGGACTGTCAAAATGTTATATTCAGGCTAATAACTAATATTTCATAGTTCATTTCTAAATCAACGGACATCAAATCAGATTAGGTTTGATTCTGCCTCATTTTCTACCTAGAATGCTAAAGTTCCTAGGAATTTGATTCTAAAGAAGATCGAAAAAGGTCCATACAAATTCACTTTTACTATGCTTGTTGATTTGACACTGTGCATTCCATCTGCATGAAGATAAAATCAAATCCTCCACAACTCAAGTCAATTACATTTAGGTAAACAATAACCATACTGACTTACTAACTAGCTGTTTTTAAAATGATGTCTACTGCACATATTTACATGACAATCAACCCTCTCTTTCTATCTGCATATCTTCACATACTTGTAAAAAAAAAAGCTTCCGAGATTCTAGAAAGGATAACATACTCTCTCCCTCAAGGAATAACAGACAGCTCCAAAGCATGGAAACTGATCAACTAGTGGTTTGAAGATCAACCTGAAAACCCCAGCGAATCCGATATCTTTCACCTAGACACAGAAGATTAGGAAAAAATGAGATGAACTGTAACAGTGAAACTGGAAATTCATTTACCATTATGGCTTTAAAGAGAGCATCAACAATAACTAATAAAAGCAAAAAGATTACTCCTTAGATAAAAATCCATTGGAGGAAAATATAGGAAGAAGATACCAAAACAAACAGTAGTTCCCTTTTCTCACTCAAATCCCACAGGAAAACATATACACAACACAAATTTATGAGTTCCATAGACATTAGCATGCAAGTTTAATAACTTGTCAAGTAACAGCGAAAAGAAGCAAAGCATATGTGTAGTCAATTACCTGTACAGGCAATGCTACACCAAGTCTGGTTTTGATATCAAGTATTATACTTGGATTCCCATCCCACTGCATTTCCAGTTCCATGGTAATTCCACTTCCTCCATCTTCGATAATAGAAACACCTAAAATCACATTGATGAGGAAAATTCATTGTTAAGAACGCACCAATTCACATAGCCTTTACTATTGAGTTCCCTTGTGCTTGGGAAACATGATACAAGAGGGAAAATATCAAGGTATGCAGACTGCCATCAGAAATCCAAGCTAGAATTAATTATTACTTCCGTTGACGATCTTCTTAATATATATATACAGATACTCATGTATTTGTCTGTATATGCATATATATAAATTGTTATGATGTGTCTAGTTTCCAAGAATGCCAGCAAATATGACATTTTCCAGATAGTGGAATGGCAAACAATCAGGGTTTTGGGGTGCACAGGCAGCCACTGGTTTACAGGATAACCTATTTAGCATTTTTTCACTGCAGCTCTATATATATGTTTATTTGTATCTCAAAGCTGACTTCTAAATTTATCTTGTGAGAATTGGGTGCACTGAACCTCTAAATCGGAAAGAGAAAAACATAGTGTAATGGTCATAATTTTTCATGGCGAATTTAGATTCATCCCACTTGTAGAGTAGGTTATTTTGAAAACCATGCAAACTTTACACAACTTTTAATTTCTTGTTTTCAATTTATTTGCTAATCTATCACATGGCAAAATATATATATATATATGCACATGATTTTTTTTAATTAAATATATATATACATGATTATTTGCTAATTTATCACATGGCACAAAATATATATATATAGATATGTAAATGGTTCAAAATGATGCAAATTAAATAAATAAAATCACATTACAAAATAGTTTGCCATATTAAATAGGATACAAGAATCTTCTTTCTAAAACTTATCACAACTAGAATAGAAGTTAATTCAACAACGCAATCCTCTTAATTCCAAACTAGATAGGACTGGATGTAGTTATGGAACTTGGTGTATAAACCCCTGAAGAATCAGCTCAATAATGGACTTTTTTTACTTGGTAACTTATAAGTTTAGAGATTGTATTGGTTATCTATGTCATCAAAACATGTCAAAATGGGTTCTTCCTTGAGCACTATCCTACATATCATGTTGTCGGCCTCAATAAGAGCCAAATAGGCAAGCTAATAAGCCTACAACAACCAATCTATAGAAGTTTATGAAAAACATCCTACCTGGTCATTTCTAAAAATGGGCAATCCGACAAGTAAGTTAAGAGTAATACAGACAATAATATAGCATATAAAAATCTTAAATACCAAGTGAAAATAAAACCTTGCTATTAAGCTGCCACCTCCCTGGTTTAGGCACCTACTAGTTCTCCCAACCTTTATCTCATTTGAAACTCAAAAGATTTTCCTATTCAGTTCTTTGATCCTATTGGAGATCTTTTTAAGAAGCAAATAAAGTAGAAGTTACTCCTTATGGAATCCTAATTCTAGCCAAAAATGATCTAATATGGGATTGCCCTGAATTAGAATAAAACTGAATTCAAATTAATCATCATAACATCAAATGTCTAATATAGCCTTCATTTCATTTTATTTTTAGCATGAATAATATCAAAAGCAGGATCAGATTATTCTCCAATTAAGTACAAAATCAAATTAGTAGAAGGCAAATAATTCCTCATTGATTCAACGAACTTAATTACAACTGAAAATCTGTTTTTGTTAACTGACAAAATTATAATCCAATAATAAAATGGGAACTAGAGAAAAGGATCAACTGACCTGTAAATTGCGGAGCAACAGTACCGAGAGTAAATTTGGAGAATTTAAGAGATGATAGTACAATGGGTCTATATTGTTCAAGAATGGGCTCAACCGAGGACTTTATAAGCTCAGATGCTGCCTAGAATCCAAACACCATCAATTAGCCCCCAATATGAAATAAAAACTAACCCTAACATGCCTTTCCAAAATAACGATAACTCGGAACTCATAAAATGATTTAAAAATAATTTGAATTTGCTTTAAATTTTTTTAAAAAAGAAAAACTAAACCCATTGACAGGTACCTCATTGACATAGGGCCAGATCTTTGTGAGATGCTGATTAAGCCAAGTCAACTGAAATACACACACATATAATCAGTCCCTTCACTATGTCGGATATATAATTCCAAAAATGCGTAGGTAACGAGAGAGAAAGAACTAAACTTCTGGCGCTGCGAGAAGACAACCCAAGAGGGATAAAACTCAGGCGGCAACAGCTTCCTTGAATCGTCCACTGTCATCCTCGCAAAAGCAGCAACAGTAGTCGCCTGAAAACCAAAACCAAACTGATTAGAAACAACTCGGAACTTATTCTAGTAACTTCAAAACGAAAAAAGAGGGAGAGGAAGCACTCACGAGGTCTGAACGAATCTTGGATCGAGCATTCTCGCACCAGACAAAGCCGACGATGATAGATACACCGACGGCCAGCCCGATCACGACTCCGACAAAAAACGACATCTCCTCCGGACCGGATTGACCGGACGGTGGGAAAGTGCGAGAAAATGATAGAAAGAGAACGATGAAGAGAGAGATCGTACCGGTATACTGAAGTCAGTAAAAGGAGCTGATGAAAAAATCGTTATATAAATTTAATTAACAGATCAAATAAATTAAATTAAAATTAAAATGTTATTTATAACTAAACATGGTTTAATTAATTAATTTTAATGAATGGATTAAGAGTTAAATCGGTTGATTAGTTGTTCTTAAGACAGATTTTGGGCGGATTATTCCTTGTGCTTAAGGAAGTTTCTCTTTCGAATTTCCAGTGCCAAAGAAAAATTAGAGTCCGCGCTGCCGACATGAAGCCGACCCTTTCGATGCGGGGCCCGACCGTGCATCCATCCATTCTGGCAGCTTCTATGAGTTGGACCAATTAAAACTCGCCACGTGTAAAGGGGGACCCAATATCATTGTCATGTGCTTTCTTAAAACAAATCAGTATTGATGAGGACGTGGCCCACGTGGCTAAGGCTTACGGTGACAAACTAATTTCCAACTTTTTTATTTTTTGGCTTTTAGTATAAAAATGTTTCTGACTTTTAATAAGATATTTAAAAAAATTTTATTAAAAAATAAAATATTATACGTTTAATTAAAATATTTATTAAAAAATAAATGGTTAATTTTAAAAAATAATTTAGAAATATTTTATAATTTTCATTATTAATAATTTTAAATAAATATTAAGATAATAATTAAATAATTTTAACATTTTATCACCTGGGCCTAAGTTCAATAAAGAATGTGTATTTAATTTCAGGCCCTGTAGTTTTTTAAATTTACAGTAACAGCCCATACCGTATGCCTGCGGCAAAAAATGGGCCTCGTCGTATGTCATTACTCGCGTAGGTCTTATCGAAGCGCAAGATCGAACTTAATTTCATATGAGAAAACGGATTCAACCCGAGTTTTATCACGTTTAAACCCTTAATGTTCTTCGAACTCCGAAGCGGATTTGAATCTTTTTCTAATTTTTCGAATTGTGTTAGGTTATGGGTTATTAGATTCGAACTCAATTCGGTTATTTTATTATATTAATATAATTATATTTTTATTTTTATTAATATAAATTAAAATATATCTACTAAATGTTAGCGTATCAAATCCGAATTTATATTTTAACGGAAACAAATTGTGTTTGGAGGGATAGAGTAAAACGAGTTTGATTGCAAAATATCATATGTGTCGGGGACAATATTTATATATTATGAAAGTTTATATTTATTTAAGAAAAATGTGTTTTTTTTTTTCAAAAAAAAAAAATAAAGCATACCAAAATATCTATTCATGTTATGATGCATATTGATGCTTATATTATGAAATGTATATTCTCTATACCCCGTCCGATATGAGAGACCACGTTTCCGGTAGGGTTTCTTACGGAACCGATCCATCCACCATCTCCCAAGATATTTAATTAAGCTGTCGACATTATCCATTTATTAATTTACACAATTTTTTTTATTTTTCTTAACGAAGCGCAAGATCGAACTTAATTTCATATGAGAAAACGGATTCAAAGCGAGTTTAATCACGTTTAAACCTTAATGTTCTCCGAACTCCGAAGCCAATTTGAATCCTTTTCTAATTTTTCGAATTGTGTTAGGTTATGGGTTATTAGATTCGGACTCAATTCGGTTATTTTATTATATTAATATAATTATATTTTTATTTTTATTAATATAAATTAAAATATATCTACTAAATGTTAGCGTATCAAATCCAAATTTATATTTTAACGGAAACAAATTGTGTTTGGAGGGATAGAGTAAAACGAGTTTGATTGCAAAATATCATATGTGTCCGTGACAATATTTATATATTATGAAAGTATATATTTATTTAAGAAAAACGTGTTTTTTTTTTCGAAAAAAAAAATAAAGCTTAGCAACA